TCAAAGTAGAGTATGTCGGCTGAACTCCCCGTGTCGACCATGATCCTCTTTACCTGCGCGTTGGCCACCCTTGCTGATATTACGAGGGCGTCGTCGTGCTCGGGCTGCCTGGAGACCCCGGTCGGGAAGGTGATTTCGGGCTCGGGCCCGTGCCCAGGGGTCACATCAGGAGCGGCTCGGGCGTACGCTTTTCTCCCTGACATGGAGCCCCCTCCTGATGCGGGGCCGCCAGCGATTACATCAATGTGTCTCTCGATGGGGCCCCCGGGGTGAGGCGATGGCTCCTTGTTCGGCAGAAGGTAGTGGCCGAGATGCCCTCGGGGGATGAGCTCCTCGATCTGCCTTTTTAGCTCACGACACTGCTCGGTGTCGTGCCCATGCTGCCGATGGAATCGGCAGTATTTTGAGCGGTCCGCGAGTTCTCGCGGGCTCCTCATCGGGTGGGGCTCCTTGAGTAGTCCCTTCCCCTTCTCATGGAGAAATATTTCCGTCCGTGAGGAATTCAAGGCGGGGGAAGGAGGTCTTGGGTCAGACCTATCCAGCTTGCGTCGGGAGGCGGTGGGCTGCTGTTGTCGGGGTGGCTCCGTTTTGACTTTTTTGTGCTCTTCCCGCTTTCCAGCCCCTGTTTGACTGACGAGGCGTAGCTGGGCTCGTAGGGCATTCGTGGAGTCGGCAGACGGTGCCTCGCGCCCGGGGCGGCTCGCCGTGTCTTCTGCCTCCCGGCTCCCGGGCCGAGTTATCGGGTTCCGAGGCGAGCCAGGGAGCCCGGAGAGGGGTATGTGAGTGCGGTCGTGGATTTCCTGCTGCTGTGAAGGGTGAGCCTCGTGCGGAGTGGTTCGCTGCGAGACAATCGGGATGATGGTCTGCATCATGCTCGTCAGGGCTCGGACTTGATGAGCGAGGTCGTGAAAGGCCTCGGGAGACACCGGCGATGGGCCAGCGGGTGCGCCGTCGGGAGGTGACAAGCCTGGGTCATTGAGCAATTGCCAGTATCGTTCTGACGCCGCTGCAGGGCGCTCGTCACGAGTTTCATTGTGCGGGGGGTGTTCCCCCTGGGTGGGGAGCCCAACAGCTGGGGGCTCGTCAAAGTGGATTCGCTGATCGCTTGTCATTCGGAGGCCCTCCTTCTAGCGCCAATCTGTTATGGCAAGTAACTTGTTTAGCCGTTACCTCGGGGTCGACACGGCTGGTTCGAGGATCCGAGCGGCCAGGATCATGTGAAGCTCCTCTCGGAATCCCCGGGGTGACCGGTCACAGGGAATCGGGCTGATGTGCTCCGAGTCGTCGGGTCGGGTCAGCTTCGGTCTAGTACCTGCACACTGGTCGGGTCGGTGATTCGGCCCGACCCCTCCGACGATCAAGTTAGAAATGAAGAGGGGAGTCTTAGATGGAATCGTGTGTTTGTCCGCTTACCCTGCCTGCTTGGAGCCCGAGGGTATTTATAGGTGAGCTCGATGTTACCTGACGCGCCATCCTACCGGGGCAGGGCCGTACTCTTGAACGCGTCCGTTGCTGTTGTGGGCATTGCGCGGTAAGGCCGAGTCGCCGTGGGGTATGGCATGTCCTTGTTCGACGCCTTCCCCTGCCCTGTCCGGTCGTGCGGGGTTAGCATGATGAGGTCGTGCGGGTACGGTCGGTGAGGGTGCGCGTTACGCTGATA